TTGGTTTATTATGAATGAACATTAATTATAAAAAATCCCTTATAACAAAATATTTCCATATTTTCATACAACTTTAATTGTATGCATTAATTTTGTATACTAAACAGGCTGTATAAGTATCTATATATTTTATCATTTTTAACACCCACACCTAAATATATTAAAATTTCTATTTATTTCTTTGAATATGAACTTTAAAATATAGATCTCTCATTTTAATACAAATTGATTTATTTGTGATGAATTTATTGAAACTTGTTTAAAGTGCATTTTAAATGGTTTTTTTTTTTTTCTTAATTTTAAATACTTTGTTAATAACTTATTATATTCACTATATTTAAGTTTTAATCTAATAATCTGAATAAAACATCAAAGTTTAGTTTGTATATAAAGCCTTATTGTAAATGTCTTTACTAATTAATTTATTTAAAAAATATATATAATCTTCTGCAATTAAAAATTATTAGGTACTGTATTTACAAATTAAAAAATCATATGTTATTGTTTATTAAAATTATATAGAATTTTTGGTTTACTTGTAAATTCAAAATAATTATATTTATTTATTTTTTTTTATATTAAATACTTTAAAATTCAAGGTGGCTAATTTATGTTAATATTTTAAAAGTTAAAATATGAATTCCTATTTGGTATTTAAATGGTTATACGAGGGTTAGTTTTGATAGGTGACAGGTTAAGGAGTGTTTATAAGTATACTTTTAAACAGACACTAGGAATGCATGAAAGTTAAGAATAAAGATTACAATACACTCAGTATGTAGGTTGAATACCTATACAGCCTATAATTATGTATGTAATATATAATAAAATGTATTGATGTCTTGATCATTTAAGGTTCTTATACATTTGGTAAAATGGATAGAAATTGTATTTATTTTACAAAACTAAACTTATTGTTACACACATTGTGTAACTACACAAAACACATTGAAATTTAGTAGTACCTATGTAACTTGCTCCATAATCAATACATCCACATAGGTACCAAAAAAAAAACAATGTTTTAATTAATCTGAATTAAAATTATAAAACTATATTTAAAAACTATTTATTTAAATCAGTTGTATATTCTAAAAATGTATTGAAGATTATAGTAAGTAGGTATTATCATGAAATAATATTGAAAAACTTTAAAATGTAATTTATAAATAAAAATTATTAAAATATAAAAATTTAAATTGCAATATTTTAAATTAAATAATAAATATGTTGCATCAAAAATGAAGAAGTATTTTTGAAAATAACTATACAATAGTAAGAACCTATAATAAAACGATTTCTAAATATATTATTTCTTATAATTTGACTTATTCATATTAATAATCTTACTTCATTTTCTACTGAAGCTATATATTTATATAAATCAATACTGCATGTTTTACTCATCTCTATCTTTATGAATATGTAATAATTTTAAGCAAAGTACTTTTATGTCGTGGGAATTTTGGAGATATAATTCTTATTATAGTATAAGAGGCCAAGTAGGAATTTTGAATTTGTTGATCAGAACTAACAAATAAGAAATCAAGAACATTCAAATCCTAAAATAAAAATATTTATCTTAATGTACTAAAACAACTAGATACTTACCTAATATCTTAATAATATACTAAGTGCAACTCCTTGATTAAATACAATGATAATAATACTAATAACCTTACTATCATCCAACAATCCAACCCTTAAGATTAACCTAAATGATTAAAACTCAACATCATAGCATAAAGATGAGAAGTTTCATTCAAGAAATATAAATAATTTATAAGCATCAATGGCATCATTATTTATAAATATTAGATATAAACAAAGATAGTCGACTTTAAAGAAACTATACCTACCTACAGTAGATTAAAATATAAAATTATGTGAAACACTTAATCTCAATAATATTATATATCAAATTAATTCAATCTAATTTTAAAAATAATAAAAACTGAAAATATAATATAATTTTTTTTTTTCAAATAATGTTTTGGTTTCTATAATATTATATTATTATTAATAATTAACTATTAACTATTAAGTAAATATAATATTTAATAAAGTAATATACTATATACATAGATACTCACTTACTAACATAGATTAATATTATGCCAAAATAATTTTAAATCATTAATATTATATGAATAAAACTAAATTGTTTCAATGAAAAAACTAAAAAAAAATCAATTATTATATAGACTATATATATACATAGGCAAAAATAGATGTAGCCTTTATCCAAAATAAACACTAGGCATCAAGTTAATTTACTGACACTGATTGTCTATTATAATAGAAAAAAACTAGTTAAAAATATAGGGTGAACATTAAAATATAGACAAGACAGATCAATAAATATTATATTATGAAAAGTTTGAGTATGTAGAACAGATACACTCATACCTCATACAAGTATACAACTGACTACACCTAGTAAACCTATTAACTATACACATAGTATATAATATAACAAGCATATAAGGTATAATATCTTAAATTATAAAAAACAAAACAAACAGAACACTTCTTACTTCTTAGATTAGGAAAATTATACATGAACCATAAACTAATAGTAATTATTATCATAGATCATAGATACAAGGTATAATGATTACTCAATAAAATATAGAAAGTTTTTTTTTTAAATCTTTTACATCTTTAGCAGCGACAACTGTACCAAGAGGAATTTGAGTCACCTGGTGGTACTCTTGAAATAGTTGAAATCATGATTATCATTTATCAGGAATAACTCATCGATCATAAGGAAATAAGTTATCTATTTTATCTGTTTATTTTATATGGACTTTTGCATTAAGGTAATAATTTTTTACAAATATTTGGAATAATGTCGTCATTTTTAATCATGACATAGCCACCAACGGAATACTGAATGGCTGGTGTCAAAGTTTAATCATGGTAAGCTTCATTAATCAATTGTTCTACGAATATATTTTACTGAGCATTCTACCTAATTTAAAATTTTATAAGTTACATTATCATTTTCGGAATCAATAAGTGCTTATAAAATAAAAATAGTCGGACATAATCTGTATGTTTTCTTATCTAATACAAATAATCCTTTAAATTTAATAAATTATAATATTAGTGTTAATCATGATTCATAGATGTACTATTTTTATTGCTGTCTGTATTCTGTTGACGCATCAAGCGATACCCGTCATAACAACAATCTAATATATATTTTATTTCATCAAAAACTGACAGCTGTGACAGGGCATCTTACATTTCACTGTTAACAGCAGCTACACTCCCGGACGTCTGGTTGATATTTTTACTAGTGTGTTTGGTGGCTAGACTGTAGATTGTAAACCGCTTCACTCGGCATTATTGCTGGGAAAACCGAACCGCTACCTCACAATCGTCTAATGTCTATACTTAGTCTCAAAGTAGAATACACCAGGCGGCGACCGGTTTTTGTCCGAAGGTACGCGTCTCCCAACTACCACATAACTGATATAGGTATTCTATTTGGAAACAGAATTTAGGCGTCAAAACACTCAAAACATCGTAGCTCGTGTTTATCTGTTAAGTTGTTGGCCATTTCGAATCAGAACAAAAAATATTTACGCGGCACAAATCCGAATTAATGACAGAAAACAATTTAAGGAAAACACTATATAGTTAATAGTACAGATTACAGACAAGAAAAACCAATTAATTTAATATCACGGAAAGCCCGAGCGTACAGCACAAAGCCACAAAATCAGTCCTCTGACGCACTTACACAGTTACACAACTAAATGTACCCCGGTCGCCGAATCCGCAAACTGGCGGCATGCGGCAAAAACATCAACGATCTGTTCCAATTATTACCGTTATCACACTACAATACATGATAGCAATAAAACTAAATTAAGTCGATACTCTGGATAATCAACACTTCAACAGGTACCTAATGGCTAATACCTATCAACTGGCAACTACTCACCTACCTACTTAATAAATATTTTTATTCTTTATATTATACATTTTAACATGAACTTCAAATATCTGCACATTGTTTACTGGTTTTTTCTTCTCTCTATAGTCTATATAATAAGTAAAAACAGTATAATCCTTACTGTTTAAAAAAAAAGCATTAAAATAGTATGGATATTAAATAAACATAAGAATATCAATAATATAGACTATAAGACTAAATATAAAATAATATGTATTATGCTCATGCTACCACTCCTATCTGTGCAGGAACCTAATGAATAGGTTACTCTTAGTTAAGACAGAATAAATTATATTCATATTATCTACCAATTAATTTCTTAAACGGTACTATATAGCTTAATAGCTTATATTATATTCCATAATGCATTGACTTTACATGTTTAACAAAAAACACAATTACGTAAAATCGATTTCACTCATTCCTAAAATTATCAAGTAGGCATTAGGTAGGTAATATTATTGAATATAGAATCAGAATGGACTATTTCACAACCAATGGTAATATGTTGGAATCATTGAGTAATTATTTTATGTCCTATGGTCGGCATACGGGTACCTATTTAATAATAGAACGTTTTGTCAACTCAGATTTTTGATATGTATTTGAGTACTCGTAAATTAGAAAAATCATTTTTGTAAAGCCCAAAACCAAATAGGTTAATTTAATAAAAATAAATTGTATCGAAATTGTAAAATTTGATCACATTAAATATAACTATATCATATAAATCATTATGTTATAATAATTATTATCGACATTATTAAATTTGTTAATTTATATTTATGATATGGGCGCCAAAACCAAAACCACCATCAATATTAATATTGATATTTTTATTAAATTATAATAAATCAGTATTGAATTATAATAATCAGTAATCACCTAACATAATCGAACTTGTTTGTTTTTTGGAAAGTAGTGGCCACACTGTTCAAAAATTGGTTGCTGTTTACATGTACAGTGTTTACTTAATAAATGTAATGTTTTATTTTGTTTCTTTATTCTTTGTAAAAATAATTATAGTCAACGATCCAATATCCAGGCAGTAGGCACAAGACTGAAGACTGAATTAATACGATTACCGCTGTGGCGCTGTATTGTCATTTGTCACTACTCACTGGGTATCACCATTTACCACAGACCGATTCGTAAAATAAACCTAACATTCAAATTTGACTGAGTTATTTTGACCAGAGGTCCAACTTTTCCACTCAATTTTCACTGATTTAGTTGCTGTTGCACGTTACATTTTTGATAATATTATCGAGGTAAGTGACCGTTAAAGCGGCGGCTGTACGCGTGTTCGTGTATGAACTATTATTTTGTAGAAATATCCATATGTGTAAGTACTTTTAAGCTTATTACTTCATTGATATATATTATATATATATATATATACATCTATGATATAAATACGCGAACTGTCGCTCGTGAATTTCTAAAATATCAATGAGGTAGTTTGCGATAATTTATTGTACATGAAACTACAATATAATTTAATTATTAATGTGCAATATGCCGCACAAACGTAATTTTATTGGGAGGGGCCTAAAGCTTTTCATGTTGGGTTACTTACTATTTTTTTGATTTGACGGGTTTGTCTTTTTTATCGTATCGCTTTTGAGAGTTTGTTTATAATTAAAAATATCTATTTTATGTTAAAAATGTTAAGTTTTTGAGAACTTAAAGTTGATCACAGAACCAATATAAAAAGTTTCTTTAAAAAGGCCGAAAATTTTTTCAAAGTTTAAGAATTTGCTTAGATGTTATAATAATCTGTTTAATACTGTTTAATAGACAGTAGGTACACACTTAAATTTTTTACTAGTACCTACTTGCCCGCTTTGAAAGTACATTACATAGGTTGTAGGCAGCGGTGTATTAATAAATAAATTTATGGGTATACGCACTTGAATAGTTAAATAGGTGTACCTTAAAAAATTTTTTCGCTTCGTTCAAAATATGTTATATGTATTCATGTAAATAACTTATAACTAGCATACTTTTGAAATTTAATTTTTAAAATTTATAAATTTATTTATTTTATTCAACAAATATTTGCATACTTATGAATATTTTTATGTTAAACCAAAATTGCGATTTTAGTGGTAAACAGGATATAAACAAATATATTTAGTTTGAATATAAGTAGTATTTTGACTACATAAATTTTAGTTGAATATCTGCTATAGACACATACATTTTAAACTTCAATAATACTGATGCTAATATTCAATATGTACACATTCGGCAGTTTCCAAATTTTGAACTTCATATGGAACTGAGACGTCTTTTATGTAATCAAAATTTACTTGTTAAAATTATTATGAATTAAAATTTTTTTTTTTAGTATATATTTGTATAAAATATATAAAATATTTAAACATTTTGGCTTTTGGAATCAATGTGGCCTGCAAATTTATTGACATTGGCCATTCCTATTACATATCATAAATTTTAAACAAGTTGGTATAAAATCTGCTGATTTTATGTCAATTAATCAATTTAAAAAAAACTTTTCTCTTAAAATTTCTCATAATTAATTTCATATTTTTATTGGTATGTAATAAAATATTATTTTATAATATCAGTTAAAAACAACATATTATCTATATTTTATATTTATGTATATATTTACTAATTATTAATATACAGTAGAAATTGTTTGTAGTATCATTCAAGGGACAAAAAAAAGTAGATAATAATAACCAATAGTCAATACCTATCTATCTAAATTAATATAAAAAAAAAATATATTTATATATAAATTAGTACCTACACTCAGTCAGCGAGAGAACATGTTGTGGCTCTACAAAAATCAGTCCTATTTATTTTCTATGTTACACCCTGCTATAGTGGAATAGGTTTCATTGACAAGATGTTACATGGGGATGCACAGAATTGACTTGTTTTTTTAATGGAAACAGAGTATATATATAATCTTATATTTAATTTAAAAAATATTAACTTTAATTATGTATATCATTAAACAGTAAAGCATATTTTTATTATATATTAAAATATTCTACCTATTCTTTTGTATTTTAAAAATTGTTGTATTTTTTTTTTTTTCATTTTCTAATTTTGTTTTTGATCTTATTTTATTAATAGTCATATAGTTTAATATTAATTTTGCTTAATATTTTGCTCTGTCTTGATTTTCATGTCATAAACCTTTGATAATATGATCTATATATTGTGTATTAATTATAAATAAACCATTTTTATTTTTATTTTTGAATTTTAAGTTTTTTTTTTCAGATGTCAAGTTATGAAAATAATGAAAGTTGGATACATAACAATAAAGACAATAGTAATATCAGTATAAACATCAAACAACACATTAAAAATGGTCTTCATAGAGCAAAGTACACTTTTTCTGATGATCCTGTAAGTAAATCTAATAAATTCTGATAAAATAAAATATTTGTTTTACATGAATAAATCATTTCATTTTAAGCTTTTCTAAAAACTAAAATGTTCAATTAAAAATAGTTTTATAAATTTATTTTAAAACAAATATTTATTTTTATGAACAATTTTAATGTTAAGTTTTTCTACTGTAATTTTTGCAGGTCTTTAAATTAGTAAGTATGAAATAATAAATAGTAATACTACTACTAAAATATAACTATACACTATGATATAATATATGTTGCATGATTTATTACCCTTTATTATAGATTATAATTTTAAAAACCACCCATTTATTACATATAGGTGTCCTCTTTCCTATATTATACAAAATATCTACACTGCCAATCAATCCGCCTCTCCACACATAACAGTTGCTAAGTTTACAGACTATAAGGTTATTATTTTATTCATAAATTCTCACACTACCTTCCTTTTCTCCAAAACCATCTTAATTTTGTTGCTTGATTTACAATTGGTATTTTAATGTCAACCAATCCAAATTACTACATATACTCTTCGCATTCCTCCTTATACTATGATGTTTCTAGATTTTATTCAAATTCCTACATTTTAATCGACAAATACTTTTGACTAATTATTGACTGCCAACTTACTTATTACTCTAATGATTAACAACAAGAACACTAAATTAAATTAAAAACTCTTAATAAATAAATCCTGTTTAATCCAATGTGGACTTTGGTCTCTATCTCTGGGACAATGCTAAATAATCAAACACTGACAAAATTCAAAAAATTGCTTATTTTTCTTACTACCTTTTATCTGAAGCCTAACATTTTATACCATCTAAAAATTTTAGCAGTTCATGAAGAAGCAGTAACCTTTTATAAAAATTACCACTTATTCCCATTTTATATCTAACCTTACCTTACCATTCACAATTCTTTGTAATCTACAAGGCTTAAAAGGAACATGTGTTGTGATCTATTTGAAGTTAAATAATTAAAATGTTTAATTCGCTTAAAAAAATAAAACAAGTTAGGGTAGTTTTTCCACTGAGGGTGATTTTTCTTCTATCATGCTACTCTTATAAAAAAAAATTAATTCTATTATCAAATATTCTTATTGTTTCTTGGTGAACAGATTGTATATACCTTTAAATAAATCAAAAAAAATCTACCTATTAATAATGGCAATATGAAAATTAAATACAACAAAATTATTGTACTACATTTTTCTTTTATTTGTATAATATTTAATTTAAATACATATTTGTAATCTAAAATTATATACATGTTTAATTTAAATGGTTAATGTACTATTAAAATTATAATTAGATAAACTAGAATTTGAATCAATAATAAATATTAATTTTTTTAATTCTTGAAAAAAAAATTAATTTTACTTTCAGACTGATATTATTGATCTGAATATCCAAACATATGATGGTTTTGATCATATAAAAGCTCTACATGAATATTTAGAAGAAATGAATTTAGGACAAGTTGAATTTACTGTTTTTAAATGTAAATCAAAATCAAAAATACCTGCTCACTATGCCAATATTAAGGTAATTTAATGTAGTTATATATAATTATGCTGTTTAGAAATATAAATGTATATTATATACAGTACAAACGCTTTATTAGTAAAAATATTTTGTTTCTCCTTTAATATTCAATATCCGTGTATATTTTTATATAATGTATTTGTTCTATGTTATATTTTTCATGATTTATAATTATTATTAACACACTTAGGTATATTAGAATAATGTTCTGTATTTTTTTGTTAATATTTTTTATTTGTAAATAATTTGATACTTAAATAAAACAATAACATCTAAAATCATAAAACCTATTTAATTATTATAAATTAATTATGAGACTCACTTTAAACATTGTAAATTTTTTTTTTAACTAATTCTTCATATTTTATTTTTAAATTATAATATTTTAAATTTTGTTAAATTATTTCTTACCTATATAAAAAATATTTTAATTATTGATAAATTTTTTATTGATTAATATTGGAAAAAATATTACTTATTGTGAACTTATAGTGATTTTTATTTTAATGCATTTTAATATATTTATTGTATTTTATTTTGAAAGTATTCATTGCTTAACTTTTAGCTAGGTAATGTGTCTCTTGCTAGTTCATTCCCAGAAAAATATTCTCTTCCTGAAGTTGCTCAACAGGTAGCTGCACGTAAAGCATTATCTGTACTGAAGAAGACTCATAGTTATAAAAATATTCCCATTACTCAAGATATGTCTATTGTTGCTGAAAGATTGGAAAAGGTTTAATTTTTAATTTATTATTAAATTATTTTATTTGTTTTAATCATAGTTATTTACAGGAATTACAAAAAAATTATGCTGGACTTTTCTGTGATAAAGTAGAAAATATTTACAAAGAAGTATATAGTGAACAATTGCCTTCAGATTGGTTGATTCTACTTGGTCGGTTAAACACAAATATTGTAATTGAAGATTTACCTAATCAGAACAAATCCATTTTATACTATGATGCTTCTCCTGTATGTACAATAATAAATACATTTAAAAATTCTTAATTTTGTACAATATTGAATTTTTAAAGGTTGATAAAAAAAAACATAAAGAGTTATTGGATATTCCCACGACTGAATCTTCTGAGAACTTATTTGTTATGAAATTGGTTGATAAAACTGAAAGAAGCGTAACTGTGACTAGTTTAGACAGTAATAACAACATTTGGGTTCTTTTTGTTCATGACAGTATTAATGTAATTATAAGTTATTTTATTTAATAACATAATATTATGGTATAATATAAATCCTTTTTATAGGACGACTATGACACATTATTCAAATTAATGAATATGCCAAGTGAATCAAAACATTTTATTAAAATGTTTAACATTGAGATATCTGATGTATATGCAGTTCAAATACAAGATGTGTGGTATAGGTTTAAAGTCAGTTCAATTGAAGATGATAGTATTACTGGCATTTTTATTGATCTGGGTATAGAGTTTTGTGTTACTAAAAATAATGTTATGTTTTTGCCTCCAAAGTTTCTAAAAGTATCCTCACAAGTAAGCTTATAAATTTTTATTAACAACCTATTCTAAATTAATATTGTATTTATATTTTTTCAGGCTATAAAATGTACTTTAACATCACTGTTTTTTGCTCCTTACTTTCAAGTTGCTCAAGAATTGTTTCATAAAATGTTATTTGGAAAAGAATTTACTTTAGTTCCAGATAATATTGAAAATGATGTACCATTGGTCACATTATATGATGGAAAGTGTAATATGAATAATGTGATTAGAGAAGCCATTATAGAAAAAACCAATTTTAATAAAGTATTTTAACATTTTACTTATATATTTTATATTAATTAAATGGTTTAAAAACTGGTGAATATGTATTTCAAAGAATCTTAAAAAAAAAGGTTTTTAATAATTAGTAGTAAATTTTAGTTATTATAAATGTATATTAACTAAGAGTTGTATAAAAATATAATTTTTTTAATTTAAACCTTGGAAAGAAACACTTGAAGCATTATGTTAAAATTTAATAAAATAAATTAAAAAATGGCATGTTTTTTCACTATTTTAAAAAAAATTGTCTGGACTCTTATATTTAATTAGTAGGGTAGTATCTTATGGTAATTTTTGCAATAATATTTAACATTATTCATACTAATATTAAATAGTTTAGACAAATGTATAAAAATGTTATTACTTTATTTTTAATCTTATGATATAGAATAGATAATTAGTAGAATTTATCATGATTTATTCTATGATTTGCCAATGTAAGGTACTGTAATATGCTTTCATTGGGACATTTGCTTCTATTTGATTTTAAAAATTATTTATTTATTGAATTTAAATCTTATAAATGTCATATTGTGTATATCTTATACAAAATGTATTCACAATTTCTGCAAATACTACAAAAGAAAAGTCACAAATGATAATATATTTTTAAAACTTTATTGAACAAAATATGGACAGTTAAAATTAATTATGGGCATGATCACCAACCAAAAAAAAAAAAAATGTATAACCAAATTAGTTAATTCTAACTAAATTAAAATCTTATATAGGTTTATTTATTATTTATAGAATATGTTGATAATATTTAATATGTTTTTAATTTATTAGATATAAGTAAAACATTTAGTTCCTTAAAATATTACTCAATTTGTGTAAGTGCATTAAATTGAGTCATTCAAATAAAAATAATTGTTATGTGATAAATAATACTAAATTACATATTATTATTAAATTTTATAAAGTTAATTTTTTTTTTTAATCAATGATTTATAATAATATTTATTTGTTTTTTATAAATAATTTTTCTAGATTCATGAAAAATGTGAAAAAGCTATTCTCTCTTACATTGCTAATGGCTATGTATATTTACATCCATCAAGTGAAACATTAACAGTTATGGAATCTATATTAGATTCTATATCAGCCTCTCGACCTCTTGACACTCTATATTCTAAAAATAGCATTTCACCTCATAAGTTATATCTTGTTAAGTGCCCAGAACTTAATTTGTGGAGTAGAGCAATAGTTCATGATTTTATATTTACTGATCAAAAGGTCAGTTATTTTAAACATGGTAATATTGATATGTATTTATATATTTTTCTGTGTTTTTAGTTCAAAGTATACTTTATTGATTATGGTAATTATGGATTTATTGATCAAGATAAATTTATCGATTTGCAATCATTTGATTTGTTGTTGTCAACAATTGGCCCTCAGGTAACTTGTCTAATCTTATGTTTCAAGAAATTTATATTATTTTATTTTAAAGAATACCTTTATGATTTCATAGGCTTTAAAAGTATCTTTTCATTTATTTCCACCGGAGAATCTTATAGATCAATCTCGATCCAAAGCGTTGTATGAAATGATGATTGATAAATCTTTGGAAATAAACGTTATTTCAACTAATAGTGATGGTATTCAAGTGGTTGAAATATTTGACGCTGATGATCAAAATCCAAATCGATTGTCTTTTAATACTCAATTATATCAAAGGTAAGTTCATTGTGATTATTATTATTATTATTATTATTATTATTATTAGAAATGTAGTATTTGATGACAAAATTATTATTTTTAATATTTGATAGACTATTAGGCTGACGCTTTTAATGTATGACTACTATAACTGACAATCTTAAACCATTTAGTTCTATAAATATTATTTCACAATCATTTTTTTTCTTTCATAATTTTCATATTTTTTGCTTGAATTCTTACAAATTTGTTTTTTATGCATATTGTGGTAACTCTCGTGTAAAAAAAAAAAAATACTATTTTTTTTGTGATAGTATAGCATTTTTGAATTGTATTACTATTTAATACTGATAACTGACAAGCATTAAATTATTACATTTAAAAAAAATGTATTGGAAATTAATAGGTTTTGCTCTTTAAAATATTAAATGACGATGGAACCACATAAGTTTTGAAATGATGATTATTGATTATGTATGTTAAATAGATCATTTGGTCAATTTTGTACAATATTGTACTAATTTCAGTAACTATTAAGTTACAATTTTACTAAATAAAATTATATTAAGAGATTCACAGTATAATTTGACATTTTTTTTATATTAAATAAAAATATTATTTATTTTTGCTATAACCTCTAGCTATGCAAGGATTTATAAATCTTAATTTAACTGATATATTATCTGAATATCACTGAACATGCTAATATGTCTTAATTATAAGAATGCATTAGTATCACAACAGAATTAAAAAAATTTTATAAATTTCATTTAACTTTTTAATTAACAATATGTAATTATACCAATATTTATTTAATTTTTTTTTTTTTTTTTCAGTGTTTAGCTGAACTTTTAAAGGAACGTTTTTACGGAATTTATTTGTCAGACTTACTCATAACTAATAAGTAAAGTATTTATTAATTTGTAATATTATATTATTTAATAAGTCATAGTACTTTTTTTTATGTTAATATTTAATTTTTTTTTCCGTTTTATATAAATATTTTAAAAGTGTAATCTGAATATAAATATAAACAAACTAAATTTATGCTGAATAATTGATTTTATATTTATTTTTATTATACTTATCAATAAAACTAACATTTTTGTTATAAACAACTTTTATTGGGTCAGTGGTGTATTTAGGAGAAGGAAAATAATATACTCAAATGCCAAATTTTAAAGTTTAGAAAACTTAAATGTTTACCAATTTAGTGCTCATAAAATATATAAATTTATCAGTTTATCAGACAAAATCGTGACATGTATTTTTTTTAATATAAAAAACACGAAGCCTTGACTAAAAAGGTCATTAGCCGCAATCGTCAAAATATACTTTATAGTAATATGTTTCATTTGTATATTTCAATTGTTTGCAACCCTTTTAACGTACAGTAAAATGGTGTAAATATAGGTTTGGGCTTTATAAACTTAATAGTAAGTAGTTTAAAATTAATCTAAGTAATTGTAATTTTAATTTTCATTCTGCGTACAAAATAATAAAAATTTATTACATCTAATGACAAAAAGTTCAATGTAATATTTGCTCCATTATGCAAAAATAACTAAATGTGTTATCGAATATTGTGAATGTAGATAAATTATTCCATGTGCATTGCGTGTTCAATTTTATGATAGTGTACATAGTAGGTATATCACGTTTATACGACAAAAGATCAAGCCGAAAAAAATGAAACTTATGAAACCACCTTCGCCAAGTAGGGAAGACGACTACTCTTAAAAGAAACGGTCATACGTGATACATGTATGTGGAGGGAAGAATAAGTGTATACTGTATATTAACTATTGTAATAGAAAAGCGCTTATATAAGGGATTGGAGTAGGTGTGGTAGCGAAACTTTATGATTAGCGGGAATGGTTTATGTGATGGGGGGAGGTTATAGCAAAAGAATATTAAAAAAAAATCCATTTATAAAGGTTTTTTTTGTTTAAATCTACTAATCCTTCGTTCTGTTGCAGTCTACGCCACTGATCTGCCTACGTGGATAGAGCAGGATTTACCCTACTCATTTAAAGGCTAATATCTCGTTGTTAATTGAATTCACCGCTGGCCGTAACTACTGGTGTCCTACCACACTATCAGTATTTAATTAAACGTGCAGTATTTATGTGTACTCGCTTATGTATTTATATATAAAAAAAGTATATTCACTATATACATAACATAATATGACGTGATATCGGTCCATCTCGGGGACGCTGCGGGTTGAGTTTTTATTACGCGGCAAAAAGAAAAGGAAATCCTTCACATAAATGTAGATTAGTCGAAAACAACGGCTGCTGTGTTATCGTCACTAATCTTCGTGTGCAGGCTTAGTCGGGCGCAATTATTTTCCTTCTTCACTTCCACTATTGTATCTATGTTTTCTGTATGTAATGTGTGTGTGTATTTTGTGAACAGTACTATAATACGAAGGGAGTGTATAATTAGATAGCAACTGCATAAAAACTTATTGTATACGAAAGGAACTACAATTATAGCAATTAGGAATTAATTATTAATATACAATATATTATCTAATGCGCATGGTATTTAACTATTAAAACGTACAATGGTTTTATAGATGACCATATAAATATGTATAACAGAGGCTTAGCGTGCATGTAACTGTAAACACTGTTTATACTTTAAATCAAAGAAAAAAGATTTTTCAATCAAGACTAATAGGTTTATAATAAATTATTTTATTTATAAAATATTTAAACTTATAGGTAGTGGTTTTCGTTATCGTTTTGTCGGTGTCGTACACTGTCCACTAGATTACTCACTATTTATGGAAAACCATCGATTGACGGTCTATTTTTAATCTATTGTGTTATTGGCATATAATACGACCGCACTAAGTCCCACTACAGTGTTAAGGTACGGGCCCACTGAATGTGATTTGCGATTTACGATTTTACAATTTTATTGAAACTATAAAATAACTATGACATAGCCGCACCGAGAGCGTTTTTCGTTTTAAGATAAATCGCTTTAAACGCAAATAAATCAAAATAGTTTGTTTCCTTGCGGATTAATCACTGGACAATATAGCTCGCATCACAAATCACGTTCAGTGTGGCCATACCTTAACACTGTAGTGAGACTTAGTGTATTTCACATTCTGAAATTGCTAACGCGCTACTGTTGGTTTCTAATAGCCTATAGTCAGGGCCGGATTTATGTCTAGGCCCGCGAGACCCGGGCATAGGACGGCAAATTTTATAAGAAATGGAAAAAAAATCTTATTAATATTTTATGCATTTATGTAACTGCGTAAATTAATATTATATAATATTTAATATATATATTTAAAAAACAGAAGTAAATCCATGAATTTAAGAAATTAATACTACATTATTTTTTTTTGGAAGGGGGGCACTTGTTTTAAATCTGGCACTGTCTATAGTATCATAGAGGGGGTCACGTATTTAGCTAACGTTTGTATACAATTTTATTTTGCTTACGCGATAAGCGAATTGCGACCAGCACTTAGTCCGATGCGTTTTTTCTTATTTACACTGTCATTTGCTTCATAGCCTTTATATTACAAATTCTTTGTTTTCTCAAAATTTATAACATGTTAAAAGGACTAAATTTGTTTTTACATAATTGATAATTAGCTATAGTATTCTAATTACTATAATCACTTGAAAAAATATCACTACTTACGTCTTTTTAATACTTGTGCCACGGCATTGAGCGTGATTTAATTATTCACCCACCTATGTATGATATTTTGTTAATAGTATCCACCTTTTTTATTTTATTATTAAACATAATGTTATAATACGTAAAATAATTATGGATTATGGTAAGCTATTATTTATAATAAATTGCTTAATGTGATCACATAATATTATAAACAAGCAATTTCAATAATATTAGCTGATATGTTCAATTAAACAACAAAATATTTTAATACTTTACTTACAACTTATAAGATGTCAATAAATTTAACAAAAATGAAATGTACATAAAATTGAAAAGAAGAATAAGAACATTAAAGAATTGCATGAATCACCAATATAAATAAAATGCTAAATAAACATACTAACACAGAAACACTATAAAAGTTTATATTTTTTTAAATACTTGGACCAATCAAATAAATTAAAAATTAAGATCTCTCTACTGTAAGTATTTGATATTTCTTTGTAGAAATTTCTTTTATATCATTTTTTTTTTTAATATGTATAGTGACAAATGCAGCAGCGCCAATGCACAGTAAACAGTGTATAACTAGTACGAGTATGACTGTGACATACACCTCACAACTATTTTAACACATATCGAACAATTAAATTATGAAGTTTGTTAGCTTCATAAAAGTTCAATAAATAGTTGACAAACATTTTTTCCTCAAACACATGTTAAGTATGCACACAGTTTTTGAAATAAAAATGATATCAACCTAATTTATATTTTTATAATCAAGTTAAACGTTTTTATATAAATTAAATTAAATTATAAAAACTAAAATTGAACTGTCTTATTGTAGATAAGTATCTAATTTTTCTGTTAATATTCATTGAATCAATATGAACTTGATAGATGAGAGTATACAATTGATATTTCGATGCGGTGTAAACTTTAATTAGGTTCCTATAAAAAACGAACGTCGACATTTACACACTGTACGTCAATATCAATTTTAACGTGTAAAATTATAATTTAAAGATATAAGAGTGGTCATATATTATGTGGGTTTTCAATGTTTTAATTTACCATGTGCGATGTGCGTATTTGTTTATTCGTACGATTTTCAATTTATAAAAAACAAATGATAAACAACAAATTTTTGGAACACAGGTGGTAAAGACTAAAGATACGACTTTTTTTATCTGTACGAATATTGGATACCTACTAAACTAACAACCGTAACAAATATAAACAAAACATCTTCACTATCCTTTAAGTGGTCCGCCCCTGCGTATGTGCACCAGCACCACCATACACTTGCGAGTGTTATATTAATTTGTTTATCATTGTATTGAGTACGAATACAAAAATGGAATAATAATGTTATATTATATTAACAAAATTCAATACGGCGGACACCTACACACATCACGCCGCACGTACTGTGTACTACTGTAGTCTGTAATGATGGTGCGGTAGTACAGAAGTGTGGAATCTCCGAGCGTATATATTATTATTACTATTATTATAACGACCGCCGCGTGCACTGCAGTTCCCGTCGTGTATTTTTGGCTTAAGTCAATTATCCGTATAGATACGCAATGTATGTATGCAAATGATTCGGATTAAAATTCAAACCTCGATTCCCGGAGTTATTTAAGTTTGGGCCCGGTGGCTCGTCCCGTACTCCCCTTCGACTCATGGTTGGTTCGTCGTCGGATTCGGAACCGACTCGAAAACGAAAGATTCACAGTCTCAAAGTCATTACGCGTTAAAGTTGCAACGATACTAGTGGTGATGAGGGTAAAGAGAATGGATGGGTGGCGTAGGATTGGGGTTGACACATGGGTTAAGTGGAGAACCGAGGCTCGGCTCGGCGGTATTAAACCGAATTGTCGCGTGCTCTTGCGGATATTGGCGAGGAGGGGAAGGATATCGTTTAAAACCGTCGCGTGCATTGTCGTATCCGCACCTATATATAATACTATGTACATATACGTATATATATATTTATTATTATATAGCTGCTATGCCGGAGGTCCTCCTCACCGGTTCGTCGAGTTTCGCCACCGCTGATATTCGCTCGATGAATAATAATTTCGCGGTGTTAATTCGCCACACCGTTTATATGGCTTTTGTTTGCCACGACGGAGAATCGTAAATATATATATATACATGTATACATAATATTATTATATACCTATTGCGGTCGCGTTATAAACGTGATCGCTGTTAAGTCGGCGTCGAGGGTTTTTCGAATTTGAATAAAACGATTGCCTCTCGC